AAAATCCAAGAAAAACACGTTTTTTACAGGTACCATAGGATGCATCCCTGGAAACGGCTGGAGAATATCGTATATCTCATGCGGATATCTGTGTGACAGTGAAAAAGTACTCAAAAAATGAATTCCTATCCACACCTTCGGAAAGCGTTTTATTTTAATCTTCTTTTATCAAAAACTTCTTGTTCTTTTCGATACTTGAGATTTCTCTTTTTCTTTCTGTATGACCATGTAGGTGTGCGTGTAATTGCACAATTGACTTGCAAGAACAGAAAAATTGAAGAAACATCAACATATATATATTCGAAACACATTCAACACCAACATACAACAAATCATTGTAGTTTATAATGGTTTCTGATTTGAAAAAATCATCAGTTCCACCGGCACGGAAAAGACACATACCTTATCGTAAATTCCTTATTCCAGCCATTCAATGGTGGAATCCAGAGAACAAAACAAGTAAAGCAACAAGTACATTGCTCATCATCAACTGGATACAACGATTCGGAAATTGTGGAAATGGACCTCATTTGAAATACGGCAAAAAATGCATCAGAAGAGCGCTGCTAATGGCTGTTAGGTCTGGTCTACTCAAACGACGAAAAGGATCTTTCCTTCTTACAAAACACGTGGCAAAACAGCAACGTCAACATAAGAAGAATACAAGGAAGTCAACTAGGACAACTGGACGAAGACGAATCGCTGTTGTTTAACATATTATATGGGTGTTCTTTAAGAAAAGAATGAATAATTAAAACATATTTGAACTCGTTTTCATCAGACATGGTCAAAACTAAGTTGACTAATTTTCAAAAACCGATGAATTTTCATAGAGTCTCATGTGAATGAAACTATACTTGGTACTTCTCATGCTTTTCTCAAAAGATATTTCTCATGAAATGCAATCTCTTTCTCTCCCATATATCCCCACTAATTGGTTGCTCCGGTGAACTCATTTTCTTCACAGTACTTGATAGAATACTAAGTTAGTGATTCCATAGCGGAAAAGAATTTTAGAATAAAATCTGCTAATTAACTAAAGTCGACTATCTTGTTTTCTCCTGGTGTTTTTTCAGTGTACGATAATAATTTGAATGCGGAAGGTATCGAGTACAAGGTCTGGAAAGCTCGAGTTGCTTGCATGCGCTTCAGAAGACAAGAACTGTCAAAATGGTACTCGCATATATATTCTAATTACAAAAAGAAAACAGTTATATATACCATGGTCTACATTCAGTAAGATCGAATCGAGTAGCCAATCGTCGTTCCGTTGCTCTTCGAATGGATTTTTTTGGAAAAGATTTTCACTCAATACGAATTCAGATTACAAAAAAAGAGTTCGTACAAATTTTTACTTAGTGAATATGAGCAGATAATTTCAAAAGATTTTCAACCGAAAATGAACCTTCTTGTCTGTTTTTCGCCTATGGAACATTGTTTGAAATTCAATGATGACATCGACGTGTGTTCTTCGAATATTTTTCTCGTTATTCGTGAGTACTGGTGATAAACATTTCATCTTTAAGAGAAAAGAAAGGAAAACTTTAAGTTTTCATCCAATACATTGTTAAGTCATGGGAGTTTCCGTTTTGACAGAAACGCATATTATATTCCTTAGCCATTTATCTATTCTTTGTTATTCGCCATTATGTAAACGTATTTAACAAAGATTTTTGCTTTCACACAAAGTAAGTGCATTGCCACTCTTTTTTCTTTTGATAAAAACCTCTGTTGGGATGAACGAACAGTTATCAGTCTATATTAGGGTGTGAGTGTGAATGTGAATGTGGATGTGGGTGTGGTGGTGTGGGTGGGTGTAGATGTGATTATGGGCTGTGGGTGCGAGGATAGATAAGTCCTTCACCTAAGTCCACACCCACACGCTACAAACTCACACTCACACCAACACTAATACTTACACCCACACCCACACCCACACCCACACACCCACACCCACACCCACACCCACACCCACACCCTCAAGCAAATCTCAATAATTTTAAGCAAGAAACACAGAAGAAGGAAATTCATTTGTGATTTACTGTAATAGTTCGACATGTATTCTTCGAGCGTAGTCACAGAGAACAGAGATCCATTCATTGAAGCGGTATAACTCGGTCGGTGCAAATGTGAGACTTCAGTTTGTATGAGATTTTAACAATGTAAGGAACAATGAACCGAAGAGCAACAGTTAAACCACCATATAGACCTAAGATTCGTGACACAA